TTTCACCGTATCCGGTTCTCATCTCCTAAAACCCTACGTACTGTCCTGCATGTTCCCAGCAGTGCAGCTTTTTGCAGTTGCAAGTATATTTTGGATGGAGCTGTAGCTTTTCCAGACTCTGTGTATTTCCTTGGTATCTCTCCAGTAGCTCCTATTAACTGGTATTATAGACACATTGCCCATTTCCCACATGCGTTTGATTTCGTCGGAGAGTGGCAAATACTTATTGATTTTTCCGCATGGGTGGTTTGGATATTAGTAGGAAGAGGCACAGCTAGTCTATTATAAACGTCGTTCTTTCTTCTTTTAGTGTGAGCACTATGTCAGGAATATGTTGGGGATGGGCCTGTCAGTTATGATTTTACGGTTCCAGTACAGCCTAGAGGTCTCCGTTTCTATCACAGGTGGCGGCGTGTATTTACAGTAGGGCTGTGTACCAGTTTCTCCTAGATGCTTTTTAGCCAAAGCTTGATAAAGTATTTTGGCCACATCATTGTGCCTTTCAAGATATTGTTTAGGCTAAGGGAGAGCAGCCTGCTACAATATGATCTATGTGCTCATCTTTTCCCCACATATGCGGCATCTGATATCGTCAACGTTCTCATGCATTATACGCTTTCGGTACAACTTTGTTGGGACAACCTGATCCTGGATGGAGGCTATGAAGCCCTCCGTCACCAGGAACAGATTACCTGACTGCAACCATCCTTGGGAAGCCTTCGTGTCAATGGCGTTGTCTTCTATGCGGCTCCTATACCGACCATGTAGTGGTTTGGCTTTCCATTGGCGAACCAGATCCTGCATTGGGGTTATCTTTGCCTCAGGGTCGAAATATTTTTCTGAAAGGTTTAGTGGTGTCAACTTTTTATCCGTCTGTGTTATTGCTTGATGCCTTCTGCTGGATGTGGCTTTTTGGAGGAAGTACTGGCGTAGATTGTCCACTTGGCGGTGATGTAGTGTAGGTATGCAAGGTATTCCTCTGCCACCCTCACTTCGTGGTAGATGGAACCGCTCTATGGAACTATGTGGGTGGTGTCCCCGGTGTTTACGGAATTCTTTTCTGGTTTCCCCACATTAAGTGCGTTCAGTTCTGTATCCGTCCAGTTCAGTATGCCAAACGTATAGGTAAGGACCGAAGTAGCGTAGGTGCTGACAGCAAGTGCTGTATTACGAGCTGACAGACTTGTTTTCAGCACCGCCCTCAAACGTGTTCTATAGTGCTCCATTGCCTTTTCTTTTGCAGCTTTCTGGTCTATGCCCGGCGCTTGTAGATAGCCTAAGTAGTTAACTGTTCATCTTGCTGCATTCCTTCAATTTTCCCTTGCACTTGGTTCGGCTCATATCCTGAATGTTTACTCCATTGGCCTTTTACCATGCAACTGATCTTGCACTTGTCTAAGCCAAACAGCATCTTATTATTATTATAATTATTATAATTATTATTATAAATATAGTTATTATTATTATTATATGATTATATTATTATTATAACTATATTATTATAATTATTATTATTATTATAACTATATAATATTATTATTATAACTTATTATTATTATTTATTAGTATATTATTATTATTATAACTATTATTATTATTATTATAATTATATATTATCAATATTATTATTATTTAATTATTATTATTGTTATTATTATTATTATTATAAATATTACTATTATCATTATAATTATTATTATTTTTTATTATTTTATTCCGTTTTCTGTTAGCTATTCTCTGCTACTGCAGGTGGTATCCTCAAACGCGGCATTATGCAAGCGTCTGAGTGTGACTATTGGTTTCTCTTTGTCTATGTGGCTACATTCAGGACCTTGCGTGCTATATGACAACTACCAAGATAGCAGCTTTCTGAAGTGAGAGGTATAGTTTCTGTGGCAGATTTAGTTTCTCATATATTTATGTAGACTCTTAGGTATTTCCCTGTGGCTCCGATCACTATTGGGATGA